AGGCTCCAAAATTGCGAACCATGCGTGGTCCCATGAACATTCTATTGACTTTAACAACGCCTCCTTAATTGACAAAGGCAGTTTCCGAATAAGGAAAACCCTGGCATACTATGGTGACTCCAAATGCTGTCAACAATCCCTGCCCACTCCCTGGGCAATACAACATTCTTTTTACACACATTCATAATTAATTTACATAGTCCATTCTTTTTATTTTTACTCATTTATATTCATATTTCGTCATTCATCTTTGCCCGTCGAAGACTGTAGATCTAATAGTCGAAAGCTCGTATATCTGTAACCATTTTTAGCCAGAGATCGTTTTTAAATTTTTAGTAGAATTCTACTTGAACACTAATGCAAATGCTGCAATCTGATTGGCTGAACCATTGCACACTATGGTCTGATAGTGTCTCTCCGCGGACGAACACTATCACACCACGTGATCAATTTAAACCAATAAGAATAATGTTTAATTAGTGTTCAGTGGCTTGGTGTGGTCCACAAAATTTTAACGTTTTCTCGTTTCTCCGAAGTTTTGAAAGAACATTTAAAAACAAAAGGACAATTAAATTCCTGAAAAGACTGAAAAAGGACATTCACGGTTTCTGGAATTAAAAAAAATATCGAATTTTTTGAAAGAAACTGATAAGCGCGCGCACACAACTGAAAATTTCAAATTGACAACTCAGTCCGCGCGAATTCTCTAAAGCGAGAAGTTTAATATTAAGACCAGAAATATTTGGAATCGTTATTTGAAGCAAATTTCAGTTAGAATTCTACTAAAACAATTAGATTGTTCGCTCTCGATTTCTATGAGGTGATAGTTGATTCGACCTTCGGCCTCATCAACTATCACCTCATAGAAATCTCGAGCTCATAATCCAATTGTTAAAAGTCGATAGAAACACGGACCATGTTTTCCATTTCGTAAAGATAACTGTAGTTTATCTTTAACTTTGTGTAGCCCTACATCTTGGCAAGTTTATCAGCTGGTTTTTTTATCATTATTTTTTTTTTCTTCTTCCTCTTTATTTATCTTTATTCTGTTTTGCATGAAGCGACATCTTGGTTCTGGCAGGTTTGTATGAGGCGTGTCCTCAAAAAGGGCCATTTAATAGTATTTTTCCTGTTTTAAGGTCACTTGTTCTATGGCTGAAACATGAAATCACTTGCGTTACGTTGGGGAATTTTTCCTCGACTAATGCGATCAGATAAAATTGTCGTGATCCCTTGGTTCGCCAAGGGCAAAATCGAGCATCGAGCTTTAGGTTAGCAATGAATTGCAATCTTTTGACTGTCACCGATTGATGCTTTAGCAGCTAGCAGGGCTTCTCAGATTAAAGTCTCGCTGAAATTAACCATCTCTTATTTTCTTTTTTTTCTTTTGTTTTCTCCTCAGGCAAATCATGGACGAGACACCTTCACAAGAGAATCTGCTATACGATAGGTACGTTCATGTCCGCTTTGAGTCTTTTACCCACATGCATGC